TTTTTGGTTTTTCTCCGGTACCGGGAACCAAACTCACGACCTTGCGCTTGCCAGGCAGGCGCTTTTGCCACTGAGCTAAATCCCCAGCCCCTAAGGCAAATTCTTGTAAGACACTTTCCTTAGTCTTTCTGTACACATGCCTCTGTAATAGTATGTCCCACCCACAGTGACATTGTGAGAAGCAATTTAGTTAATGTACAGTTTGAGACACACCGTATGCACATACATTTATTCCTGCTCTCTGTGCCTGTTACCATGACTTCAGTTGATCCCACCAATTTTGATCTGGTATCATGGAGTTTCAGCCTTTGCTCTTTTGTTCTTCACTTTCCCAAGGAGACAAACCTACCTACCTCCTGTTACCCATCAAATACTTACTTGCTCAGTTCTGGCATATACAGAATGTAGGTTCAAATCTGGTTATCCTTATCCCTAGGACAAAGACCCTGTTATCTGGCATTTATGTATTTCCTTCTTTTCCTTTCCTCTTTTCTTTTTCTTTTTCTTTTTCTTTTTCTTTTCTTTTTCTTTTTTTTCCTTTCTTTCCTTTTGCTTTCTTTTACACAGAGTCTTGCTATATAGCCAGGCTGGCCTCAAACTGGTGGCAGTCCTGTCCAGCCTCTGGAGTACTGGGATGATAGACCTGTGCCTCCATACCTGATAAAGCTATTCTGTTTTTTCTGTATTCAAACTTTTGAAGTAATTTTAGGTTTCTATACAAATTGCTTGGAAAGTGTAAAGTACAGTTCCTGTGCACCGTTTTCCCTGTTACTAACATTTGGAGTTAGTGTGGTACGTTTGCTCCAGCTGTTAAACCATATTGATAACATTATTATTAACTGAATTCCGCAGTTTGCATTTAGGGTCATCTTTGGTATTGTGTAGTCCTGTGAATTTTGTCAAGATGTTAAATTATTAAAAAAAATGTTAGTGAGACAAGGTCTCACTATGTAGTTCAAGCTGGCCTTGGACTTGTGATGGTTCTGCCTCAGCCTCTTCTGATTGCTGGAGTTATAGGTGTGCACCACCTAGCCTTACATCATACAGAATAATTTCACTGCCTTAAAACTGCTCACTGCTCCTCTTCTTCATCCCTTTATTCTTCTGAGTGTCTGCTAACTGTTGATCTTTTGCAGCTCTTTTGGGCGGATACCAAGGAATGTGATTGCTGGATCATATGATAAGCTTCTCTTTAGGTTTGTAAGAAACTGCCAGATTGTCTTCAAAGTGGCTGTCCCATTTTCATTTCTGTGGTCATCACTTTTAGTTCATGTTGATCCACATCCTTGTTAAGATGTGAGTTCTTTACAGCATCGTCTGTAGATTCAGCAGATCCTGATTTAAATATCCCACCAAGTTATTTTTGTGGGTTCCAAAGAGTTATTTTTAAACTGTGTGTAGAGGAAAAAGATCCAGAATAGCGAACATAACACTGAAGAAAAAAATAAAAGGACTCAACACTGGCATTAATAGTTACTGGAAATCTGCAGTTTTCGAGACAGTGATTTTGATGGAAGAATAGGTGAATAGATCAGTGAAACAAGATGCTGAATGCAGAAAAAGACCAACATGAATCTACCCAAGTGAACTTTGGCAGAGGAGCAAAGATAACTCTTGACAAAGCATAGTCTTTGTGAACGACCTTGGCATAATTGCACATCTGCTTTCAACAAAACGTATCTCCACAGCAGTCTTTCACAAAAAATGAAAGTGATCTGGAAACAATGTAAATGTGCAGTACAAACTGGGTAATTTCTAGATAGTAACTTTAAGAATAAAATCTGTGTGTTTCAGATTTGTTAATGACTTTTATATAAAAAGACTTACATTAAAAATATAAAAACAGCAATCAGGAAACAACTCAATTGCAAAGTAGGAAAAATGTCTAATGGACACCTCATCAAAAGACACAGATGCAATATTGCAAAGAATTTATGAGAAGATAGTCACCATTATATGTTGTAGGAAATTGAAAAGTAAATCTACAGATTTGTTAGAATAGGTATAGTTAAAAACCCTAAGAATGTCCACATGGACTCTTATTAATGTCACCAGAGAATGGCCTTTTGTATCTCTACCTTTCCTAATAACAACAGTGTTAAATTTCTGCGGTGGTGTATGCCTGGGTAAGAATACGGGTATAGTAAAGAAGTCTGCCTTTTTAAGTTCATCTGGTCATGGTTTTATTGATTAATTAATTAATAAGGTTTTTTCTTAGATTTAATATTTTTTAATATGACTATGCTTAGCTTTTTCTTTTTCTTTTTTTTTTTTTTACTTGTTATTTAACTTATGGGATCAAGATTTTTTTTCCTCCTCACAAATTAGGAGACCTCCTGTGACCAAAGTGAAGGTTCTTGTTCTTCAGAAGAAGATGAATGGAAGAGTGATAGAAAAAGTGAAAGTTACAGTGAAAGCTCAAGGTATCTGTTTCTGTTTCGCCCTTTCAGGCATTTTAGTCATAGCCTTGGATGAAACTGTTTGAATAACACTCAGTAATCCAAGAGTTTGCAATTGTGGAACACATCAGCATCCGTTTTTAATATATGTGAAAGGAGAAGAAGGGTTTGGATGTGACTTAGTGGGCAAGTGCTTGCTTTGCACCCATGAAGTCCTTGGTTCAAGTCCCAGTACTGCTTAAAACAGTTGTTAGAGGTAGCTTTTTGCTGGGTGTGGTGGCACATGCACATAATCCTAGCTGTTGAGGAGGCTAAAACAAGAGAATGGAAATTTGAGACCAACTTGAGCAATTTAATACACCTTGCCTCAAAATTAAAAAGAAAAGGGATTAAGGGTATAGCCCAGTGGTAGAGTCCCCTTAGTTAGATCTCCACTACCTTACGAAGGTGGTGGTATGTGTGTGTTTGTGTGTGTTAGTACATCAATAGCTGTTCCTATAGAAATATTCTGAGGATTTGGCTATCATTATTTAACTTGGCCGTGTTACTAATTTCTTCTTGGACTGCATTTAAAAAGAGGAACATGAGGACTATCCAGTGTGTGGTAAGGCCACTAGAATGTTTATAGCTGTTGCATGAGTTAACCTTTTCTTTGTGGGCTCCACATTTCATGAGATCAGAATGCCAGCCTCTGTTTCTCCTCTTGATAGATGCTGACTGTTAGCTTAAGGCAGAAAGTTGGATATTACTGTTCTGTCTCTTTTTTCTGTACAGCCTATCTGTAATCATGTCTAGAAAATTCTGTCATCGAAAGATTACTCAGACCATCTTACCTTGGTTACCTGTTTTCATTGAGGTTCTCTTGGTCCAAAGCACAGTCATATATACTCTCCTTTCTTTCTGCCTTCTTTTGCTCCATTATGATTAGGATCCGGAGCAATGCTTTAGAATATAAATATATTCATTTCTTGTTTTTAAGGTTTTAATTGTGATGAAGCACATAACATAAAAATAACATCTCGACCATTTTGCATGGTCAGGTCAGTGTGTGAAGGGCATTCATATTGTTTTGCAGTCAGTCTTCAGAGCCCTGTTTATCTTACAGAACTGAAACTCTATACAACAATAACAAATAACAATCCCCTCTGTCCCTAATTGTGCTTTCTCTGTGTTACCTTTTATTTCACTTTTTCTTGATTCTATACATAAAGCAAATGTTCTTACAGAGTTTTTGTTTTTTTGGTACCTGGAATTTAACTCAGAATTATTGCTCTGTGGTACATCCCCAGCCCTTATTTTTTATTTTGAGATAGGGTCTCACTAAGTTGCCCAGGCTGGGCTCAAATTTGTGATTTTTCTGCCTCAGCCTCTCAAAGTGTTGGGATTTTAGGTGTGTGCCATCACACCTGGCTTTTTAGAGGATTTATAAGCACCTATTTTTATGACAAATACTGTACCTTTTAGAAATGTGTTCTTGCATATTTGTTTTTATAGAAAGTGAGAGGTGTATGGTTGAAGCTGGGCCTAACAATGGTTTCAGTGGAGACCATCATCATCCTTTTCTCCGTTTGGTGAAGCAAATTAGGATTCAGGGGCTAGTTCTCTATTTCTAGTTTCTTTGATGCTGCTTTCTAGCCTTCCAGGGCATGGCTAAGATTTTTAGCTCCGTTCTTGGGTTTCTTGTCCTGTCTGACCCCTTACAACTGTTTATTGGCATGGCTTTCCACTGCTGGCTGTAGTTTTTTTATAAATCCCTGTGCTGCATCTCATATGCAGCCTGCTCCAGCCTGCTGGTGTGTTGCTCCTCTTAGGCTAGGCTTTTGTATGGTGTCTGCTGTTTCTGGAGCTGTACTCTTCATTTTCTGGAAGGGACCTGTTAGTTGGGTATAGATACTGTGTTGTGTTGGCTCTCATCTGTAGTGACTGTAGGCACGGATTTTTCTGGCTCACAGTCATTCCTCATTTCCAGTGTCAGTGAAGTTTTCTCTTTGCTCATGTCATGATCTTTGGTCATTTCAGTCTCTTTGGCAGGTGGGTAGGATGTTAAAGTTAAATCTTATGGGTGCTCTCCTTCCCTCCTTTTCTGCTCTTCTCTTTCCTCTCGGTTGTGTAATTAACTCACTATTAGTGCCTTAGATTCTGGTCCCACACAATTAAAAATACTCTCCTCTTCTAGTGACTCCTCATCTCGATACTCTGATTGGACAGCTGATGCAGGCATCAATTTGCAGCCTCCTTTGAGAATGTCATGTCGTCGACGAATTACCCGATTTTGTAGTAGTTCAGAGGATGAAATGTCTACTGAGAATTTATCTCCTCCAAAAAGAAGACGGAAGAGAAAGAAAGAAAGTAAGCCTAAAAAAGAGGTAAGAAAAAAGTGCATCTTTAAAAATAGTGTGTATCGCCAGGTGTGGTGCCAGCACTTGGAGGCTGAGGCTGGAGGATCACCACAAGTTCAAGGCCAGCCTAGGCTACTTAGTTAGCTCAGGGCCAGCCTGGACTTCATAGTGAGACCCTGTCTCAAAAAAAAAACAAATAAAAAAATGTGTCTGCACTTTCATAGGGGTGTTCTTTGCCAGCACCTGCCACACACCTTTCCTTTCCCCTTTCTCCCTGCTCTCTTTCCTTACCCTTCCTTCCTTTCTTCCTTTTTTCCTTTGTCCTGTTCTGTACTTTATTATGGTGCTGGAGATGGAGCACATGACTATGCTAAGTAACTGTTCTACCACTGACCTGTGCCACCCAACTTTTGTCAGCAGGAATCGTATACAAAAAGTAAACTTACTTTGGGAGGGAGAGAAGGCAGGTGGGCTTTGTGGCTCCAGTTTCTTAACAGTTTCTAGTTAGTTGATATGACAAGCTCATTCTTGTGGCTTTTGGCTTCAGGCTCAGTTCTGCACCTCATGTGCCTCTCCTGAGAGCTGGCTGCTTGAATGTGCTTATAATCTGGTAGTGAGTGGCCTGATGGAGTAAGCGTGGGTGCCTCTTAGGGCCTACACTTAGAAGGTAACATTGTCACTTTTGCTTTCTTGTGTATGTTAGGAGTGAGTCACTAAGTCTAGGCAGTGCTCAAGAGTGGACTTCATCTGCATTATTAGGTGGAGAGAGGAAAGATACCAAAGAATCGAAAAGCTTAAAGCCTCAAATGAAGAGATTGTTTGTGGTTACTAGCCTGTGCTCACATTCAGAGTGGAGTCTTGGTGGAACAAGCTGTGTGTGGAGGAAGATTGAGGTTGGAAATTAGCCCTGCACAGCGGGGTGTGAGATAAAATGTGCTTAGACATTCTGGAGGTGGGGCTCGCAGAACGCTAGGTTGATCTCCAGTGTCTGTAGAGGTGGTGCACTGTTGTCTGTGTTCAGCAGCTGAATGTGTGAGCTGATGCTAAAATGTGATCACTAGGTGCTCCTGTCAAAAAAGTCCTTCTGAATGCTGAAGTTTCTCTTGTTTTTCAAATAGTGCATATTGCCTCATTGTTTTCTATCAAGCTATGTTCTCTTCTCTATAGCAGAATTTGCAGAGGATGACTCCAGCAGAGCTTGAAAATATGGAACATTTATATGAATTTCATCCTCCAGTGTGGATAACAGACACCACACTACGAAAGTCTCCCTTTGTTCCTCAAATGGGTGATGAGGTAGGAGTGATAAAATGTAAAAACATGGAGGTGGAACATAATACACAATTGATGTTGCACTCGGATTGTTTAAATGTGTACTTCCCTTTTGTAGGTCATCTATTTCCGACAGGGCCACGAAGCTTATATTGAAGCTGTCAGAAGAAATAACATTTATGAACTGAACCCTAACAAGGAGCCATGGAGAAAAATGGATCTTAGGGTAGGTTAATGGTACTATTAAGTCACTCAGGTGTAGCACATACGTTGTTCAGTTATTTATAAGTCTATTAAAAAGCCTATTGGAAGTATGGTTCATCTTGAGTTTGACTTTATACATATTTCATTCACTCCTGAGTTATCAAAGTATAGTCAGTCCTCATTATTCATAGGTTTTTTTTTTTTTTCAAATTGCATACCTACTATGAATTCCATAGAACCATGGAATCCATGCTTATGGCACTTTTGGGTCAATCCTGAGCTTATGCAGAATGACACAAAATTTAAATTTCCTGAGGAGCATGTTCCTGTATGTGGCTGAACAAGACAGCCCTCTACCTTCTTTCTTGTTTCAATTCTTACTCTGCAACCAGGCATCTGGTTCAGGTCTGTTTAGTGCTATGTGTTTCTCATGTTTGTGACTTTTTAAAATTGCTGTCTTTTTTTTTTCCACCCATTTTTGGTGATTTTGCTATTTATCATGGCCTCCATGTATAATATTGAAGTGCGGTCTTAGTATTTCTAAGAAGGCTTGTGGTAGGTCTTAGGAGGCAGTAGTGTGAGAGCACCGACCTGATGCAGGTATGAGTCACAGTGCTGTTAGATGTGAGTTCAGTGATAATGAAGAAACACATTTCATGTTATATGCTGTTAGGTAGGACCACATAAAAATAATTGCACGTGATCAGAAGTAACTAATTTCTGACTGTTGTGTCCTGAGTCTCATAGGAGCCTAGCTCTCACTTTCCTGTAGGTGCCCTGATCTAGTATTTTAATTCAGTTTTCTAGGTGACTTTATAAACATAACTACTGTGAGTGAGAATGGACTGTATCTAGCATTTTGGTGTAATAATCCTATGCAGTGTGTTTTTTTCCCTGTTTTTAAAAATCCACACATGTATTTATGGGATATGTTTTAATACATGTATATGTTGTGTGACATTGCAGGGGTAAATGTAACTCTCCTCAAACAAGTATTGTGTTTTTAGGGCAAAAACATTTAAAATATTTCTTCTAGTTGTTTTCTTGTAATGGTTTTGGAAGTTTGTTATTATTATCAGTCAACCTACTATGTAATAGAAACTAGAATTTAATTGTCAGATGTGACTCACAGTACTGGTGGATTGCCCTTTGCCTGTCCCTGTCCCCTGCTCTCCCCTGCCTCTGCTAACTACTGTTATACTTTGAACTTCTCCAAGATGGACTTTTTAATGGATTCCATGTGTGAATGAGATGGTGCATAGGCTACTGTGCCTGGATTATTTCACTTAACATAATGACATACAGTTCTGTGCATATTGTTGCAAATGACACTATTTTATCCTTTTTATTTTTTAAAATATTGATCATTAATTTTGGGAGCCAGAGTATAGGCTAGCCTTAAACTTGCTTTGTAGCCCAGGCTGGTCCAGAACTTGAGATTCTCCTGCCTTAGCTTCCTGAGTGCTGAGATCCAGCTTCATTGTGTTTGGACCACATTTTCTTCATCCATCATTTGATACATTTTTTTCAATTTCTGGCCACTGTGACTGTTGCTGCAGTAATTATAAAGAGTGCAGACTGTCTCTTCACCTTGATTCTATTTCCTTTGATACATAGCCAGTACAGGGGTTGTTGGATCCTGTAGTAGTTTCACTTTTAATTTTGGTGGAAACTGCTGTATTGTTTCCTTGGTGGCTGCACTGACTTACATTCTCATGAACAGTATGTAAAAATGCCCCTTTCTCTGCCTTCATGCCACTACTTGTTACCATCTCTGTGTTTTTGATAATAGACATTTTTATTGGAATGAGGCAGCAGCTCATTAAGGTACTGGTTTGCATTCCCTGACAGTGATGCTGAACATTTTTCTGTGCACCTCTTGGCCTTTTGTGTGTGTTTTGAGAAATGTCTGTTCTGTTGCCTGTTATTAAGTTGAATTTTTTATTCCTGTGGAATTGATTGAGTTCCTTGTGTGTGTTGGATGTTAGTGTCTGGTCAGATGTATAATTTGTCATTCTTTTCTCTCATTTTGTAGGTTCTCTCTTTACTCTTGTTTTCTTTGCAGTGCAAAAATGTTTTAGTTTCTTATAATTCTGTTTTTTTTTTTCTTTTTTTTGTTTCTTCTGCTTTTGGGAGTCACATTCAAGAACTCTTGTATTTTCTTATGTCTTGAAGTATTATCATTGTGTTTTTTTCTTTGTCGGGTCTTTCATGTAATTCTTCAACCTATTTTGAGTTGATTATTCCATATTTTAAGAGATAAAGGTCTTTTCATTTTTAAGAAATTTTAAATTTTAAATTTTTTTTCTTTGTTTTTTTGAGACAGGATCTTGCTATGTAATTCAGGTTGACCTAGAACTCACTAGGTAGCCCAGGTTGACCTTGCACTCGTGGCAAATCCTCCTGCCTCAGCTTCCCAAGTGCTAGGATTACAAGTGTGTACTGCCACACCTGGTTCATTTTCATTTTTTGTCAGGTGGATGGCCAATTTTTCCAGTGTCATTTATTGAAAAGATTGCACTTTCTCCAATCTGTATTCTTAGCACCTTTATTAAAGTTCAGTTGGTTGCACATGTATGGAATTCAGTTTGAGGTTCTCTATACTATTCCATTGGGCAGTGCATCTGTTTATATGCCAGTACCACACTGTTTTGGTTATTGTCGCGTTGTTGTATATCTCAGAATCTCGTACTTTCTTTTTTCTTCGCCCTAAAGATTGCTTTGGCTCTTTGAGTTTTATTGTGGTTTCATATGAGTCTTAGGACTTTTTTTTCTTGTTTTGTGAGAATGTCAGTAGTACTTTGATAGGGATTACATTGAATCTGTGGAACACTTTGAAGATGTGGCCATCTAGCAGTGCCTGCCTGGCAAGTGCAAGGTCCTGAGTTCTTTTCCCAGTACAAAAAAAATACTGACTCCTCCAATTCGTGAATACAGAATAACTGCAATATTTTTGGAGTTCTCTTTGAGTTTATTTCAAAAGTGTTCTGTGTTTTTCCTTGCAGAGACCTTTCACCTGTGGTTAAATTCATTCCTAGGGTTTTTTTCTTCTTGGTGGGTTTTATAAACAAGATTGCTTTCTTGGATAATCACAGAGTCTTTGTTCAGTGAGTGAATGGATGGTGATCAATTGTATCCCTAGAATCAAGGAAACAGACAGTGGAAGAAGGTTGGCTATGGCAAAGTCATTTATGGCTGCCCTTCTCAGGTGGTGACTACCTCTTCACTGCGTAACCCTCGGCCTGAAATGGGTCCTCGGATGTGGTAGATTCTCAACATATTGTATTAAGGAGAAATGTAGTACTAACTTCTTGAAGAATACTTATGAATAAGCAAAATGTGTATACATTTTGATTGCATAATGTAAAATTATGTAAATAAAATGTGTATAAAGAGAAGAAAGCAACAAGGAAATATGTCAGATTGTTGATTGTGGCTGTGTTGTGAGCTGGTAATATATGTTTTTATTCTTACATTTTCTGGTATATTTTCTAAAGTAAGTATACTGCCTTTCTAAAGTGAGTACATTAGGAACTGTAAAGTATCTTGTCATTATGAAGATGAGCAAAATGATGTAATTAAAGACAAATTGAACTTGTTGATTTGGAAGCATAAATTATGAGTTTGCTTTAATTAGGCGGTAAGTGGAGAATTACAGTATTAAGAAAATCTTTATCTGTTTAAGGATCAAGAATTGGTCAAAATAGTTGGAATACGGTATGAAGTTGGGCCCCCAACCCTCTGTTGCCTTAAACTAGCATTTATAGATCCTGCGACTGGAAGACTAATGGATAAATCTTTCTCTATTAGGTATGTATGGTTTCTAATGTAATTATTTAAATTTAGATTTTCCCATCTTGCTGATCAGCATGCACTTCCTCGTTAGCTGCAGGGTACTGCAGACTGTTCTTAGCTTAGATACCCATAGAATATTCTTAGCTGTACCACAGATAGCTTAAGATGCGAGTTGTGCTTTTGATGGATGGAACCCCAATAGGAGTGTAGACCTGTCAAGCAGTAGTAAGGCAGGGACAGTTGAGGTTTGGATGTTTTTCCATACCGCTTTCCTGGGCAGAGAATTCTGACTGGTTAGAGAAATTGTTTCTGCCTTTATTTTAGATGAAATTTGGTAATAAATAATGTATTATGCTATGTCAGTGGTTATCCATTATGGTAGCCACTAGTCACATGAGGCTATGGAGTACTTGGAATGTGGCTGATTTGAACCAAGTGCGATGTAAGTGTCATACTCCTTCTTGAATGCTTGGAATGAAGAAAAAGAAAGAAAAGTATATCTTTACATATTGAAGTAATATTTGAGATCTATTTGGTTAAATAAAATACATTACTTTCTTTCTACCTTTTTGAAATATGGCTAGTCAAAAATTTAAAATTATATATATCTCCTGTTGTATTTCTTTTGGATATTGTTGCCTATTCTGTAGGCAGTATAATAATTTGTTATTTCTGTTCAGATACCATGATATGCCAGATGTTATTGACTTTCTTGTATTGCGTCAGTTTTATGATGAAGCAAGACAGAGAAATTGGCAGTCTTGTAAGTCTATCCTTACTGAATTTTATATGTAGCCTTAAAAATTAGTCTGTTACTTTCCTGAGCTCTCTTTCAGGTTGTAGCCCTCTTAATTATAATGTTTATAAACCTGTAAACTCTTAAAGGAAACATAAGTGACCTGCAGATACATTTTGCTTAGGGCTTGTTACTAATTGGAACTGGTTCTATGTAGACTTTTTAACCAAGCAGTTGTTCTTCTGCCATTAATGATTTGTGTCATCTGAAAAAGATTATTTTTATATATTGAGATAAGCTAGAGTAGACTTACCTATATCCTTTCAGACTCTCCCCTGTTACACTATATATAATTATTATTAATGTAACACAGGTATAAGTTACACTGTTGTCCTAGGTTCTAAAATGATCAGAAAGTTGAAAAATAATTTCAGATTTCATGCTGAAAATGTTCTGATATACCAAAGTATTTTGTCTTTGATAAAACAACCTAAAATTGAGTGGAATGACTTGGAAACCAACCCTTCGAGAAGTAATAAGTTTGTATACATTTATGTTTTATGCCCTTACGATATACGGGTTGGTAGAAAAAGAAGTGACCTCAGCATAGATGCTAAATGACTTGAATATGGTTTTGTGGTTTTTGTGATGATTTTGGAGTGGCCCTTACGCAGGATATGATTGATAACTGAGCCAGACTAATTTAGACAGCAGAGTTGCAGCTCCGGTGTCTGTCCTGCAGGTGTGCATATGTCATTGTCCAGTGTGGAGTGTTACCAGGGAGCTCATGAGTAGAGGGTGACCTCATCTAGGAGAGCTTACTTTATGAAATCCAGCTAGAGCTGGGGATGTAGCTCAGCAGCACAGTGCCTGCCTGACAAGCAAGAGGCCCTGAGTTCGGTTCTTGGTACCAAAAGAAAAGAAATACAGTGGTGCCTCAGTTCACAAACTTAACCCTTTCTGCAATTCTTGACACAGAATTCATTCCAACTAGCATTGTGGAATTAATTCTGGGAACAGAACTGTGGAAAGAATTAAGTTCCTGAACCAAAGTACCACTATATTAAGTTTTACCCAGGCTTTGACACCTAGTGTACACATTCACAAATGATAGCCTTTCATTAACCTTTCTACTTTTTGGTGCATTTTTGTACAGGCTATAAGTAGGTAAATTATAGATAAGGCTGCTCTGTAAAATAGGCTATTCTTAGCTGGGCATGGTAGAGCATGCCTGTAATCCAAGCACATGGGAGGCTGAGACCAGAGAGCAGTGCCGTGAGTTCAGGGCCAGCCTGCACTACATAAGGAGACCCTGTCTCAAAAAAAGGTACAAAATAGACTATTCTTAAAAGTAATTATGTCTATGAGGATTATTTTGAGATTAGAAATAGGGGAAATTTTTTTGAAGAAATCATCTGGCCACTGAAAAAACAAAACCAAAAGCCAGTGGAATAGTGTGAGAATTGTCAAAGCTCAAAGACCTTTAAAGCTTCCCCACTATTGTGAGTTTTCAGATGAGGTGTTGGGGGCTCCCATTTTTACCACAGTTTAAAACATAAAGTAATTTAAAACTTAATTCCTTGTAGCTAAACTCTAGAGATGAGTTTCTAGCTGTTTGTAATTTAGTGGTTTCTAATTTGTTTTTTGGCTGAGAAATTATTATGCCACACTTTCTATACTAAATTTTAATTCACTTTTGCTCCACCATAAAATCTTAACCTTCTTGCCTAGAATCTGAGCAGTATGGCTAGAGGAGGTTTGTTTTTATTTGTAGAGTATATTTTTAAAATCATACTCGTGAAAGGTCAAAATGAGCTTACAATATTTGAAAAATGTTAGAGATTTTCAGGGTGGGCCATAGCTAGATAAGTGACTTTCTTTGCCTTTTTAAAAACATTGTACTAGATGGGAAGGAAAAGGTACAGTTATAATAATAGCCTGTCTTTTTCTGCTCTGCAAACATGTATTATTAAAAATTAAAAAGACATTAATTTTACATGGTTAAAAATATAGAAATGGACTCATGTTACTTTTAGAAAGTAGTGTTTCTTTTGTGATTCATGTAAAACACAAAGGAAAAACTATTTTAGTAGTTGAAATTAGGTACACTTGAAAAATACATTTAGAAATTCATATGTCCTAAAACTATTCAAGTCAGTTACATTTTTATTTCTACATTTTTATTAGTCTAGGCACCCTCTAAGATCTACTTTCCTACTTTTATATTCTGCCAAGGCAGTAGAATAAGTGGATACACTTTAAGTCTGTTTAAATGCTAATAAATATTTAAGTTTTTTTGAGAGTACTTTTAGACCTGATTTTTACTGGATGATTTTAAGAATTAGAACATTATTTTATGTGGAGTTATTTATATGGTAACAAATTTAAATTAACCCTAGTCAAATAATCATTACTGTTACATTCTTGTTTTATTCTTCAGTAAATTTTATGTATTCCATAAGAATTCATTGTAAAACATATTTTGGCGTGAACTATTAATTCCACTAAACAACAAAACCTCACAATCCATTTTGTTATATTTTATCATATTGCGTGGCTTTTGATGTTTAATGTATTGATGAGTATAACATCATTTTTCATGTATTTTGGCACTGAAGCTTGCTAGAGTTTGTGGAAGAATGGCTCATTTCAAAATTAAAATATACTGTACTTAAATTTCTTTTCTTTCTCTATCATATGGTATTTTGTAGCTAAAAAGTGTTATTAAATGTTAGCAAATGGATCCCTTAGACTTGATCATTTATCTTACAGGTGACAGATTCCGATCTATTATTGATGATGCTTGGTGGTTTGGAACAGTGTTAAGTCAAGAGCCCTATCAACCACAATATCCTGATAGTCATTTCCAGTGTTACATTGTTAGGTTTGTATACAGATAAACCAGTCATTTATAAATAGTTTTATATGGTAGGTGATTGAATGACCTATACATTCCAGGTTAAATACACTTTTTCTGTCATTGAGTCGCATTAGGCTGACCTCTGGAATGTCTAGTGTCCTATTCACTGATTTTTGTGTTGGTTCAACTGCTGCTTGCTTCCTTGGGTCTGTTTCTGTGGCCTCCTAGTATATCTTTATTTCATGGTGTCACAGTCATCTTCTAAGAGTTACATCATTAATCTTCTTTGAGAAAACCTTTGTTTTTCATTGGCTACAGAGTAAAAAGCTTTGGCTGTGATATAAAATTCACTTTGTAGCTGAATGTGGTGGTGTACACCTGTAATCTTACCACTCAGAATGCTGAGGCAGGAGGATTACTGCAAGTTTGAGGCCAGCATTGGCTACAAAGTGAGTTCAAGACCAGCCTGAACTGAATAGCGAAACCCTGTCTCAGAAAGACAGAAATGGGCCAGGGATATAGCTCAGTGGCACAGTGCCTGCCTGGCAAGTGTGAGGTCCTGAGTTTGATTTCCAGTACCCAAAAAAAAAAAAAAAATCACTTTGGGCACAGGCCACCCAGGACTTCTCATTTTCTTCTTAAACATGGCGTACATTTTTATACTTCAAAAAAAATAATGTATCCTTTCAAAATATTTAGTGCTAATACCATTTCATTACATTTACTTGCTTTCATAATAGATGTCTTGTTTTTGTGTGTAATTTGTTTTCATGAAGGGCTAACCAAGAGTTTTGTTTCTGTTTTTATAAACAGGTGGGACAATACTGAAATTGAAAAACTTAGCCCATGGGACATGGAACCAATTCCTGAAAATGGTATCTATTTATTAAATAATCAAAATGTTGTATCTTTATATCTTTTTTGATTTCTTTATTTTGCTGATGCACCTAATACTGAGCATATTTGTGTTCTTTCATAAATATGTTCAAGTTGTTACAGAAACTCAGAACTTTGTCAAGACAAGACACCAGAATTACATGTGTCTATCTTACTTACTTTTGTGAGGACAATCTAGGTTGTGCTTTTTAAAAAACTTAGTTTATTGGTACATTTTAGGTACATATGATAATAATATTCATTATAGGGAATTTGTACCTGTATATGATACATCTTGATTCTTTTTTTTCCTATTCCCCTACCCTCCCTTCCACCCCTCTTCCTTCCTTATTTATAAAAGCTCCTTTAAAAAGCATTCTAATGTTTTTTTCTTCTCCCTTGCTTCCTCTCCCTCTCGCATCCCTAGTTCCCCATCACATTTGAACATTTTCTTCCTATTTCACAGTACCTGTTATATATTTTGGTCCTTATTTATACTTTCAGTTTCTCACACCAGAGAAACAATGCAATATTTACATATGTGTGTGCAGTTTATTTCACTTAGGAGTATTGTGTCAAGGTGCATCCACATAGCTAGAAATGTCTCAGGTTTATCCTTCTTGTATCAAAAACCTCACCTTGGGGCTGGGGATTTAGCTCAGCGGCAAAGCGCCTGTCTGGCAAGCGCAAGGTCGTGAGTTCAGTCCCTGGTACCGGAGAAAAACCAAAAAAAAAAAAAAAAACCACATCTTCTTTATCTATTCATTGGTTGATGGGCATTTTATCCCAGTTGCTGATTCTTTGTAGTGTTTCCGGTGCATCGTGGTTTTGTTCATAAAGTCTTCGCCTATACCAGTGTCTTCAAGAGTTCTACCTATTCTCTCTTTCAGTAGATTTAGTGTTTCTCTTTTAATATTTAGATCTTTGATCTGTTTCAATTTTAGTTTAGTGCATGGTGAAAGATGATAGGGGGTCTGTCTTTTGCATGTGAAAGGTCAGTTTTTCCAGCACTGTTTATTAAAGAGGTTATATTTTTTCCAGTGAAAGTGTTTGGCACTTTTGTCAAAGATAACGTAGCTGAGTGTGTCTGCATTTGTTTCCTCATCTTCTAATCTGTTCCATTTATCCTTGGATCTGTCTTTTTGCCAGTACCATGTTTTGTAGTATAATTTCAAGTAGGCAATTGTGGTGCTCTCTGGCTTGCCTTTGTTGCCCAGAATTGCCTTTGCTCTCTCCTTCCCAGCTTCCATACTCTCCCTTGACTCAGGGTTTCGTGTGTTCACTCAGATGACCCCACTGGCTGGCCTGGGTCGCTCTTCTTTCACCATGGCAGGGGTGTTCATTCAGGGGAGCTTCTATTCACTATGGGATTCATTTTCTTGAAAACCATTGCTTTTATAATTTTGTGAGTGCATGTACATGCACGTGTATAATCCTGCCTCTGATACATTGACTACCTATTACTCCATCTGATTGGAAAACAAAATCCTAGTCAGCATGCACCTGCTGTGGGCTAGCCATTGTCCTGAACAACCCTGTGAGGCAGAAACTTTTTACTATCCCTGATTAGCAGATGGGTAAATTGAGACACAGGTTAAAAACTTGCCTGCTGCCATAGATTCAAGGTGGTATTGATAGAATATGAATTCAGATTCTGGCTTTGATAAATCAGTGTTGTTTAAGCACGTTTTGGCCTTTCTGTATAGGGAGGTGGTTTCTGAGTACTAAATCCTGGGCTTGTGGCAGCCAGGCACTTTACTACTTAGTATATTCCCAGCTCTTATTTTGAGACAGAGTCTCCCTCACTAGGCTGGCCTTTTGTGGCACCCTGCTTCAACTTCTGAAGGAGCTGAAATTACCACTATTCCTGGCTTGCCTTCTTTTGATTAGATAAAATATTAAAGGCATTACTGTGAAATAGGTGGTGAAAGTACAAAAGTACAACTTTTTCAGAGTGGCAGGATTTATTTTCTTCCCAATTTCTTTTATATTCCTTCAGAAAATAAAATTGAAAGAAATTTTTTTGGCAGGAACATGAATTACAAGCTTATTGAAATAATATGCCATCCAAACTTTAAAAAATTTCCGTCCTGTAATTGATAGTAAGACTACTTAATGTGAGCCAAAATAAACCTTTCCTCCTTTACAAAAAAAGACTACTTAAGACTTAGCTCTAATCAGTCAAACCAAAGCCTTGAAGGTCCTTCACAAAGATAATTTAGGCAAAGGATAGTATATATAAAACATGTTTTAACTGGTGTATTTCTAGAGGTAAAGCTCCTATAAATATTCTATCCACTTTTTAGCTTAACAGCTGTTAAAATTATGTTCTACCCAATGCCTCTGTCCTCTCACAGGAAGTATGCTCTGAATAAACCCTATCACCAACACACAGTAGATGGCATTCCTTAGCTGTATAATAGAAATCATGTTTAATAAGTAAAATATTTTGAGCTTCCACATATTTTGGAAGCTCATTCTTATTTTTTCCTAAGAGTTTTAAAAAAGTCCTTTAAGAGAATTAGTGTTTGTCCTGTTTGGGTTATTTTACCCATTTTTTGTTGACTTCTAAAAAATTAATTTTTGACCATATTTAAGTTTTAAAACTTGTATCAGATTCATTTTGTGTTTTCAGAGATCCCTGGGTTGTTTCCCTCTTTGAAGAAGTAGACTTAAACTGTGAAGATGGCATTGTAGCTTAAATTTTATCAGGATGCATCTATACCTTAATTTAAGCATTTGGTAATCTCAATCAGTAGTTTTTTAAAAGTTGCATATTTGAACTGTTTTTTACTGTGGAAATAACCTACTTTAGGAGCTTTGATAATTTAATTTCAATATAGTATACGTGTGGTTGTTTAGTTTTACTTTTCTCTTCTTTCTACTTTTTAAAATGGGATTTGTAGTTGATCCACCTGAAGAAGTTGGAGCAAGTATTTCTGTTACAGCAGATGAGCTAGAGAAATTGCTCTACAAACCACAAGATGGTGAATGGGGTCAGAAATCGAGAGATGAAGAATGTGAGCGGATTATCAGTGGCATAGATCAGCTGTTGAATCTTGGTAAGATTTTTTTAGGATGAAATATTTCATTTTCAGGTTTCTCAGGAAAAAAAAACATTTCAAAATAGTAGCATGATGAAGTTGTATTCTTCAGTATAGTTCCTACTTGTTATTTGGTTTGTAGTGTGGTAAGGTCTGTCTTTGAAACATTTGTATAGAAATTTCACTTAGAGGTAATGGATTTATTGATAGTATCTCTTTTTCCTTCCCTAACAGATATAGCAGCAGCTTTTTCAGGCCCCGTTGATTTGTGTACATACCCCAAGTACTGTACTGTAGTAGCTTATCCAACTGATCTCTACACAATTCGAATGAGACTTGTTAATCGATTTTACAGGTTAGTAGAAAACTACTTTGAAAATAGCGTACAAGCTCTTTGGTCATTCAGCTAAGGTAGACAAATGGAGTGGGTAGCTGATGCTGGCTTAAGAGTTGTGGGGCTGCTTAACATGATTTTCTGTTTCATTTTCTTTAAGATAACGTTAGATGACTGGATAAAATGCCATGTCTCAGTGTTCAGTCTTTAGTAATTTTCTTAGAGATTATGCTAAATATAGATGCTTGTTTTGTATTTGTGTGTTAAAGTTCCTATTTAACCACTTCTTTTAAAAGTAAAATTTAATTAATAATTGGATTTTGATCTTTGATGAAAGAGTGTTCCCCAGAGGCATTCACTTTTTATCATTGCCTTGTAGAAAACTGGCAAGTATAAAATTTACTCTTCAGAAGGACCTATAATTGTTGATGTTATTTTATTATTTTGAATCCCACTACTTTGAGAAATTACCATTACTTAGAAGTCTTCTTGAGTCCACAGTTGGTGTAATTTATCAGTGTATGACTATATACTGGGATGGATGTTTGAATGAGAAACCACTTTGCCAATTTCAAGTGAAACTGACTCTTGGAGTTGATACTTAATACATTTTCTTCATTCAGTTTGAACAGTTTTAAAAGTTGTACTGATAGGCATTGTGAAAAAGGAAGGTTACTGTGTTAGATTTCTGTATGTCATTAGGTGGTCTGTTAAGGTTTTGTATTTCCTGTCCAATATAATTCTCTGACTGACCAAGTTGATACCATTATGTTGTTCATTATAACTTCACATCTGTCATTTAATGAATATGCCATGGTGATTTTAAAAGCTATAGTTTTTAATGTTTCCTTATTCATTTATTACATAGTGAGAGCTAATGGCAAGTCTAATAATTACCAGTAACTCAAAGTACCAATGAACCTAAATCTTTCTAGCAAACTGCAAAAACTGTAATTTGATACAAAAATATGTGTGATTTCCATTGATGACTAAGTTATAGATACTACTCTACTAATCCTTTTTGTTTTTGGTCACCTATATTTGTAATGAAAGGAAACACCAAGTTTCAATTAGAGACTAATGAAAACAATGACATGCTATTTTCCTGTCCAAGATCAGAGACCTCCCTAGATTTTTTTTTTTTTTGAAACTTAGATTTTAATTTTTTTATTTCAAAGCTATAAATTGTCTACTTTATTTTGCAGGAGGCTGTCTGCATTAATTTGGGAAGTCCGATACATAGAGCATAATGCCAGAACATTTAATGAACCTGAAAGTGTAATTGCAAGATCAGCTAAAAAGATAACTGACCAACTTTTAAAGTTTATTAAGTAAGTGATCTCATGGTATATGTGTTGGGCAAAAGTGACTTTGCATGTGGGGCTCCATTACCACCTAGTTTTTATTTTTTACTCTGAATTACACTCAGTGTTTTATTATAGATGACATTTCTTTACATACTCATAATTTCAGTAAAAGAATGAGAAGCTGAACAATTCATTTTTGTGTATTTTAAAAATTTTGAAATAATCTTGCATTACAGAGTACGTCCAGTGTCGTCTTTGTTAACATTTTAGATAACTATGAAACACTTACAAATTGCTTTAAAAAATCAACCTAGGTGCAGCTGTTGACTAAAATGTAGAATCTGTTTGGATTTCACAAGTCTTTACACTAGTATACTTGTTTCAGGGCCAACCTGGATCCCCATTGCATTCAGTGTTTTGTTTTCTCAGTCTTCAGTGTGCGCTCCCCCACTCCTTTTCCTTTTGTTTCATGAGCTCATTTTTTTGAATGTTGGTCGCTTATTTTATAAAGCACGTAGGTTGGGTTTTCTGGTATTTCTCGTGGTTAGGTGGGCTCTGTCTGTAAAAATGTCTTCATGTGTATGAAAATTTCATGTATTATCTTGCATTAGGAATGTAATGTGGAAATAGGCTGAAAGCTGATGTGGAAATTGAGACCCACATTCTAGCCCAACATGTTCTAGTGAAGGTCCCTTGGATGTTAGACAAGTACCTTGGTTCCGCACCCTTCTGACCTTACAGCTTTCCATGTAGTACTTCCTTTTCGTATAGCCATAGAAAGTCGTCTGAAAGAATCCTATGATGGAGAAAATGATTTATAGACAATGCCAGCATCTAGCTAACAATTGGAGAATAACTTGACTCCTATCAACTTTTCCTGGTTAATTGTGTCCTAAGTTTTGGAGACTCAGCTAACTAACTTTTCCCCAAAATCACTTTACCTATTTTTGTTACTTCCATACCTATACATCCATACTTCAGTGTACTTTAGTATCTGCTTTAATTTCAGTTTCCTTTTTTCTTGTCTCAAATTTCTTTGAAATCAGTTCTTTCCCTGACCTTTCTGTGGTACTTAATGTATGTATGTTAATACTTAGAAAAGTCATTTACATGTTTAGTCAAGTGAAGTCTAACATGAGAACTTTTGAATTAGCAGCTAAATTTTTATATATACTTAATGGGGGGGGGCTCAAAACCTTTAGGATCCTAAATTAGAATTTTAAGATGGCCAGTTATTTCCACAGAGAACTAGCTGAAAACCTGGTTTTTTGAAGTTAGATTTTGGTAGATTAGGGTGCTATTTATATTTTAGTGTGTACTTTGAATCCTTGGTAACAGTAACTATATTTGCATAATATTTGTGTAAAAATTTGCCTTTCAGGAATCAAGATTGCACAAATATCTCGGAACTGTCCAACACATCTGAAAATGAAGAACAAAATGCTGAGGATCTGGTATGAAGTTTGTCGATTTTATAATTTCTTAATTTCCAATGGCAATTTAAAATGATTAAGTTGAAAATATCAATTTTTACTATATGCCAATGGAAATAGAGCATTTTGAAAACTGTATTTTCTTGAATTGTCCAGTGAGGTAATTTTAGCCAGTGATTGATATCATTTAGTACATGTCTGAGTCATTATAGGTGTGGAATGTTCTCTTTCCATATTTAAGCTAGTAAAAGGTGTATTGTAAAAGTATACTAGAAATATCATTGATAAGGCCAGTATCTCTAAGTATTGAGTGTAACCATAATTAAAAATTAATGAACTTGACCACACTTCAAGTGTCCCTGATATCCTGTCTTCAAAAATGCTGCTGAAGTTTATGTACGCAAACAACAAGGTGTTGTATGTGAGTTCACCTCACACAGAATTAGGCTATGGAATGGAGTTATAGGAAATATTCTGTTTAAAGACAATATGATGTAGTTTTCTTATTTATTGCTAATATATGTAGAATAATAATGGTCATAATAAGTGATTTAGGAAATCAGAAAATGTATAGAACATAAAATCCAGGAGTTGTTGGAGACTGTGTATTTTTGGAGTTAATTGGTAGAGATAAAATGCAAATTTGAAGCTGTTTTGTACATTTCATAATTAGAAAATGCACAAAGTAACTCTTTATTAAAGCAGAACTTTTGAAGTTTGGAATTATTGCATATCCTGAGGGAATGTGAAAAAGGTTTATGAGAAATGGTTGATACTTTGAAGTCTGTGCACCCAGCCACAGCTACTGTCTGATAGTGTATATTTTGAGATTTTGCTAATAACAGGTAATAACCCTGGTAAGATTAATGTCTTTGATATGCTTTTCATTAAGATTATTATCTTTCCACTGAGAATCTTAACAGGTAAAGTGCTCTGATTTTCTTCCTAGGATGACAGTGATGTTCCTAAAACATCCTCTGGAAGGAGGAGAGTAAGTTACTCTGCACGATTGACTGTTGTGTTTGGTTTGTTCTTTGTTTAAAAATCAAATCTTTGGTGGCACACACCTGTAATCCTAGCACTCTGGAGGCAGAGGCAGGAGGATCTTTGTGAGTTTGAGACCAGCCTGGGCTACAAAGTGAGCTCAAGGCCAACCTGAACTGCACGGGAGACCCTGTCTCAGGAAGACATCCCCCACCCAAAAAAAAAAATCTTTACAATTTTAGGTTTTATTTTTGAAGAGTAATTGATACGAATATTGGACATTTTATAAGAGAAATCACTAATGCTGCATAACTAGGAGAAAAAGTTTAGTACAAGAGTTATGATTTGAGCTATATTCTTATGAGTGAGGTGGAGTGAGATAAGAAAAATTTCTTTTAAAAAGGAAATAGTGAAAGCAAGAAAAAGTATGTGAGTGTGGTAGTCACCGGTCTGACTGGTGTGCAGGTGGGTGTCAGTGTAAGGCGACTGTGTCTGACCATATCAGCAGCAGACTGGGATGATACTGGAACCCAGGAATTCCATTCATATTTAAAGCAGAGACTCAGTTACACAGCAATAGAAGGATAGAATTTGAACGCTCAGAAGATGGGTATTAAAGGAGACGAGTCAGGAGCACATTGTGTGAATATGGCCTGAAGCGCGGGAGTCTAGTCAAGGAGGGTGGTGGTTGTTGGAATAGAGAAAGGAAGTGTGAGCCTGGTTCTGGGGAAAATCAGGATTTAGTAACTGAATTTTCTTTAAAAATGGGGATTTGTTGGGAAGTTGAGTTGAAGGTTAAAGGGCAAGGGTGCACAGAAATAAGTTTAGAAAATTTAATAATTAAACAACCCTAAGTTCTCATGTAATAGGTTCATAAGGAAATGGTTAAACATCTTGACCTGGTTCATTTTAAATTTCATCCAGATGTTCTTAAATTTAAGACTTTTTATTAAGCATTTTCTTTCACCATTTTGCTGCCCCGAGTAATATTACGAGGTTAGACCTGTACATTTCTATAATTTCAGCATTTGGGAGGCTGAGGTTGGAGGATCTCAATTTCGAGGTCAATACATAGTGACTTTGGAGACTAGCTTGAGCTATATAGTAAGACCTTGTGTCCCAAAAAAGTTAAACGTGTAATAATCGCATCTGATTTTTCTGTAAATTAATTGCTAAGTAGACTCTCAGGAGTTCAGCATCTGCATTTGCTTGTAGCAAATGTCAGTTCAGCCTTTTGGACAATTAAAAATGTGTTATTTTACAGTTCTCTATGTAAGAAGTTTGATAGGGGTCTCCCTGGGCTGAAATTGCGATGTTGGCTAGGCTGGAAGCTTGGTGGCGGGGGGCAGGCGGGTGAGGGGTCTGCAGGTTTTTGCCTTGTCTGGCTCTGGAGGCTGCCTCCATGCTTGGTGCTAGGTGTCTTCTGTCTGCAGCCAGCAGGGCCCCTTTCACCTCCCTCCTGCCGTAACTGTTGTGCTTACATTGGGCGCATGCAGTTAATCCAGGATAACCAGCTCTCTTGAGGTCCACAGCCATAGTTAGATCTCTGAAGTACTTTTTCCCATGGAAGCTAATCTAGCGTGGGTTCCAAGGGCATGTTGCCGGTGTGGCCGTTGTTCCTCCTATTGCATTATTGAGTGCAACACTTCATAGTCTGTGAAAACAGACTGTATAACCTTGGGAGGGGGTGGAGAAATAGCTTTTTACTAGACTGTGCACTCTGGGCAGAATATGCTTTTAATAGCTAACCTTCTGGTTTTTCTTGCCTTGAGAAGTTGTGTCAAAAATGTGTTAAATAGCTTGTTTTTAAATTTCATTTCTGGAGAAAGGTGTTGAGAGCAGTACCTGAATGACATGATTGGAGTTTTAAAGAAGTATGGAGTTTTCTAAGACAGTCTAATACAGCCATGGTTCTTATGGTACAATACAGAAAATAGTATTTCAGTTGCATTTTTACCACAGTCATATACCAAAGTGTGATTTTTTTTTTTTTTCTCCTCTAATCTGAAAAAAATTTTCAATATTATGGATGCATTTTCAGGCCCATGGCTGGAAGAAAAAGAACAGCAGAGCTGCCAGCTACCTTGAAAGCAGCTGGAAGAGACAGTGTAAGGAGCTGGTGAACCTGATTTTCCAGTGCGAGGATTCAGAGCCGTTTAGACAGCCTGTGGATCTGGTGGAGTATCCAGTAAGTCTCCACATCTTGTTTGGTGAAGTGGAGATGGGGGTTGAAATATGCAATTAAAGCTTGAAGAGTAGCAAGTCTAGGCTTTATGTTAGCATTCTTCCACTTGCCAGTAAGTTAATATAGAAGTGTAGGTTAGTCCTAGCTCATCTAAGGACTTAGACTTCATTAACCAATATTACATAATAATGGGGGGTGGTGCATGGCAGTCTCTCTATAGGCTTAGCAAAAGAAAAAGTGAAAATTAGATAAAATTTCACTTGTAAATAGAAGAAGAGGATCTAAAAAGAAAAAAAAGATAAGAACACAGATTTAGTGTAGGAAGCCTGGGAATTGTAGAAAAGTGCCTGTTACTGGGAGGCATTTACATTTTGATGTGTTTTTACCTACTTTGTGTCTGGACCTCTTTTCAAACATTATTGATGAATCCTTAAGAGCCTTGTAATTTGTTTTCTTTTCTTCTGTCGTTCATAAAACTTTAGAGACTTTACTTAAAAGTTTACATTTTTGAAAGCAGAAAGTTTATCTTTGAACTAACTATTTTTAAAACCTAGGACTACCGAGATATTATCGATACACCGATGGATTTTGGAACAGTGAGGGAAACTCTAGAAGCGGGAAATTATGACAGCCCTTTGGAATTTTGTAAAGACATCCGATTGATATTTAGCAATGCCAAAGCATATACACCAAACAAAAGGTCAAAGGTAATTTGTTAACATGATTTATTTAAAAAGTGTATGATCATGTATTTTTGCATTTGCTGGTAGAGATTGGAGCATTAAAGGTAAGGTAATAACATGAGACTGTTACAAAGATTGTGACATTGCCTATAGCTGCAGTTTTGCCCTTACAGCAATTGATGTTTCTCATCTACTAAAATTTTCTAAACAAAGATTGATGAGAATAAAGATACCAGTAGAAAGTGAACAAATTTAATACAAAGAATGAGAAGAGTTTGTTTTTTATACATATAAGCTTCTTTAAAATGCTTTGGAAATGTCGGTAGAATGTTAAAAGTGACAAAAATCCAAAGGCTCGGCCTGGTGGTGGATGCCTGTAGTCCTGGCTACGCGGGAGACTGAGATAGGAAGAGGGGAAGTTGGAGGACAGCCTGCGCAATTTAGCTGGATCCTATCCAAAGAAAAAGAAAAAGAAAGGTCTGGAAATGTAGCTCCATGTTCCCTGGGTTCTATTCCTAGGCGCACAAAAGAAAAAAAGTGAAATAAAAGAAAATCTAACATGTGGTTGGGACTGCTTGCATAAACCGTTTGGATTTGAAGTGACACATGAACTGTGTTATAGTTTAAGAACACAAATAGCACATTCCTCAGTTTCTGTTAAATGTTTTTTGTTGATTAATTTTTCAGTTCTTTGTGAGGTGTAATAAATCTGAAATTTTCCACATCACATTTTCAGTAAATTTTCATGAACATCACCTCATAGCCAAGGTGATGAATAATTACGCATAGTATAAAGTGAGATGTAAAGTGCAGCACCTGTTTGACCCGCCATGCGTTGTCTGTGTCTGCGTTTCCTGCACTGCGCCTGCTCCCCTCACTCTGCCACTCGCACCTCCCGCACGGCTGCACCCAGGCCTGGTGGGAGAAGTCCTGCTGTGCATGGCAGCCAGGCTGCTTGTTGGGTCAGGTTAACATTCAAGCCTAATATTTTCCCAAGCCTGGGTTTTCGTCGTATTCCTTGTTTGTAAGACTTGTTCTTTCCAGAACAAGAATAAATTTTCATTTTTATCTTTCTTCTGTTGTAGGAAATACATATTTGGAATGCTTATCATATAATTCATTCATTTAAAGTGTATAGTTAAATGGCCTTTAGTATATTAATCAAGTTTTCAAAATTATGGTTAAGTATATGAGAAAATGTACCATTTTAACCATTTTTAAGTTTACAGTTCAGACACATTAATGAGTTATACTATTTCCAAAACTTGTTCATCACCTGAAGCAGAAACTCTCACCATTAAATAATAGTTCAGCGTCTCCCTCCTCTTCCCCTTTCAAAACCTGTGGTAACTTTTCATCCGCTTCCTGTTTTTATGGCTTTACCTAGGCTAAATGTTCACATCAGCTTCTAGCTCATGCCATATTGTTCTGTTACATCCTGCTTACTTTATCTAACATAATGTCTTAAAGATTCATCCACTTTGTAGCATGTGTCTGAACTTCACTTTTTTTTTTTTTTTTTTGGTTTTTCTCTGGTACCGGGAACTGAACTCACAACCTTGCGCTTGCCAGGCAGGAGCTTTTGCCGCTGAGCTAAATCCCCAGCTCCTTCACTTCTTTTTATGACCAAATAACTTTCCATTGTATGGATAAATGGTTTTAACACATTTTACTTATCCATTCTTTTTTTGGTGGAAACTTTGCTTGTTTCTACTTTTGACCATTATAAATGATGTCACAGTGACTTTCGAAATACAAATATGTGAATCCTTGTTCTCAAATCCCTTAGGTATAGACCTAGCAACACAGGCTAATTGTGACCTAACAGGAACCAATAATGTGCTTTCCATAATGCCCACACCATTTTGTATTCCTACCATAAGATCAAGAATTCTCATTTTCCCACATCTTTGCTAAAATTTGTTATTTTTTTTAAATTGTAGCCATCTGAGTGAGGCTTTACCTCATTGTACTGATTTTCTTACTACTTACTGTGTTAATAATTGTACCTGGGATTTGTTTTAATCAGGAATAAGACATACAGGTTTAGAAAAGATTGTCATGAAGGAGCAAGTTTATCTGACCTAGAAGTCGAAGGCTTGGCACACCATGCAGGAGCCTAGAAGGAGGAACAGGGACAGGGCTGGTTAAGGATTGTGGCTGAATGCAGGCAGGGCAGAGGAAGCAGCGCAGGAATGACCCATTTGAATAGTGTGGGCAAGCTTTGAGATGTGGGAGCTGGTCTGCATTTCTTGATATCTGGATCTGAGATGTTGTGTGGCAGGGATAATGTTGACCATTGTGTGACAGTTTGAAAAAGGAAATGGCTGGTGGTGGGGACTCTGGATTGATTGGTTTGTAGATCACAAGTGTATTTGCAGGGAGTCACTTGCTATCTGTAGGAATTGGCTTGCTCTGGGATGCAGCTAGCATCATGGTTCCATTTGCTACTCTGGGACACAGCTAGCCTCAGAGTTCCATATGCTGAAGCATTAAAAGTACAGGAAATGAAGTCAGGTATGGTGACTCGTACCTGTAATTCCCACTATTCAGGAGGCTGAGGCAGGAGACTTGCAAGTTCAGGCCAGCCTGGGCAAGTTAATAAGACCTTGTCTCAAAAACAAAAGAGATTAGGAGGTAGCTCAGTGGTAGAGCACCCTTGAGTATACACTCTGATACTGTGTGTGTGTGTGTGTGTGTGTGTGTGTGTGTGTGTGTAGGGGCAATGCAGCAAATCCAAAAATGTAGTCACTTGTAGTCAGTATTCTAAGGGGTTTGGGCATATTTTCATGGTTTATTGGCTCTTTTTGTATCTTAAAACTCTCTGGTCAAGTCCTTTGCTCATTTAAAAAATTGCACTCTTTGTTGAGTGTAGTGTTTTATCTTTATTTCTTGAGACAGGGTCTCACTGTGTAGTGTAGGCTGGGCTTGAACTCACTATGTAGTCCAGGCTGGCCTCGAACTAATGGTGATCTTCCTGCCTCAGCTTCCCGAGTGCTAGAATTACAGGCATACATTATCACACCTGGCGAGTGTAGTTCTTCTATATGTTCTGGATATTAAACTTTCATGAGATACATAGGTTGTCTTTTTACTCTGTTGATGATGTCCTTTGATTCACAAAAGTTTTCAAGTTTTGGTGAAGTGCATTTTTTTATATTTTCTTTTGTTTCTTATGCTTTTGATTTCATATCTTACAAAACTATTGCCAAGTCAGCATCCTACAGATCTGTCCCATGTGTTCAAAGAGTTTGGGGTTTAATTCTTATATTTAGATTATTGAGCCATTTTAAGTTAGTATTTGTATGTGGTGTAAGGTACGAGCCCAAGTGTTCCTTTCCATTGGAAATTGAGTTGTTTTACCCCCCCTTTGTTGAAGAGAGTACTCTTTCCCCATTGGGTGGATGTGGCATTCTTGTTGGAAACCAGTTAGCCATCAGTTTTCATTCTGAGCTCTCAAAGCTAGTGCACTTGGTATGTGTATGTGTTTGTGTGCCCGTGACATACTTTACTCTAGCTGTGTAGTAGGCTTTGAAATCACAAGTGAGTCTTCAGATTTGATGCCTTGGGGTTCTTGGAAATCACTGTGCACCAAGGACTAGCCTTTCCAGTTCTGCAGAGTTTTGTAGTAGTTTTGTTAGGGATTGTGTCAGGCACAGGCATATAGTTCCAATGAGTAGTGTAATGTTTGCTTCTTAAAAATACTTCTTGGGGCTAGGGATTTAGCTCAGTGGCACAGCGCCTGCCTGGCAAGCGCAAGGTCGTGAGTTCGATCCCTGGTACTGGAAACACCCCCCCCCAAAAAAAAAATTCTTTTTTAGTTCTGAACATGGCATAGTTTTTATTTTAGACTTTCTTTAATTTCTTCCAGCAGTGTTTGTTTTAGAGTACAAGTTTATACCTCCTGGGTTCAGTTCATTCTTCATATTTTAGATGTAAATGGAATTACTCTCTTAAATTTTTGATTGTTCATTGCCAGTGTGTAGAAACATAATTGGTTTTTACATATTAATCTTGTACTTGTGATTTTGCTAAATTCATTTATGATCCCTAGTAGTTTTCTTGTGGATTCTTTGCAAATTTCTGTATTTACAGGATCATGTTATCTGTGAATAGAGACACCTGAGATAATTGGGTCAATAATATCCCTTAGTTACTGCAGGCTGATCAGGTCCGCAATTTCCTGAAGGAGTATATGGCGAAGGCTAAATAAAAGGGCAGATGGAATGATTTCAGGCCTCCAGGAGGATCAAAGCCCTCTTGCAGAATTCAGGATTCTCTCAGGACTAAGACCAAGATCTTCTCTGGTGACCCATATTTATTTGGTTATCAGAAGAAGGGAGGGGAGTACTCAAGAAGGGGAGAATCACTTAAGGACTTCTCCAAGTAAGGTATTAACGTTAATCCACCCAGGAGTGAGATGCCTGGGGCCATAGTCTTTATCTAGTTGAGATTGGATCCAAGTGTCCTTGGCTGTAATCTTGCCTTATCCTTTGAGGCTTTCCAGCTTCACCAGCCACTACAGATTTTAGTAGGATTAGTGACTCACAGGGGTTCACTTACTGTGAGTCCGCCATTTTCAGACAAGGAGCCTAGACCTCGGACAGATTCACAAGTGAACTTGAAAAGGCAATTGGTTAATTTAAGTTCTGCTCAGGTCTGCTTCATAGTGGTCTCCATCACTAAGATAAAGTTTTAATTTATAAGTTAGACATAGTAGGAGATGAACAACAATTACTAATCAAACAGAGCAATTGTAACAGCATACTGTAATAAAAGTTCTGCAACTCTGGTCTGTCTCTCACCTGCTGTGGGAAGGGCATTGTATACAGTGTGGATGCGTTGAACTGAGAGATTTGCGTCCTGAGTGGGACTGCATGACATTGCATCACACTCTTCACTGTGCTGCACAGCTTGAAACTTGTCATTTGTTTATTTCTGGAATTTTTACCAATATTTTTTACTGTAGGTAACTGAATCCACAGATAAGACCTCTCTCTTATAGTGTTGAGTAGCAGTGGGGAAGTAAGCATCCTGTCTCATCCCTAACCTTGTCTCACCCATTGTGTGTGATTCTAGCTGTGGGTTTCCATAAATGCCTTTTGTCACATTGAGATGGCTGTCAGTTTTAGCAGTCTTTATAGTTAGTTACTATTTTCAATTGAGTTACATTACTGAATTTTCTATAGAAACTATTTAAAAAATGGTGATAATGAGAGATTTCAAATTTAAAATAATTTACAAGAAATTATTTATCTTGTTAAAGTTGGTGATGTAGCTGGGCCTGGTGGCACACACTTGTAATCCTATCACTCAGGAGGCTGAGGCAGGAGGACTGCTGCAAGTTTGAGGCCAGCCTGGACTATACAGTTAGTTTAGAGGCAGCTTGAACTATACAGCAAGACCCTGTCTCAAAAAGAAAAAAAAAAAAGTTCATGATATAAGCTAGTATTCAAGTTTAAAAGAAAAGTAAATTTACAAAAGATTGGAAATAATTGTTAAAGTATTTCAAAGATGAAATGTGATAAATTTGACATTTTGAGGGAGTGAAATTCATCTGTGTGATATGATTGAAAAACGGTGAATATTTGAATTTTAAAAATTATTACAGTAAAAGTGACATTGCCATTAATCCCCCTCAAAACACCCTCTCTTGCTTCAAACACAATTACCTCATTGTTCTTGTCACTTTCTGAAGCAGCTCTGGAAATCTGTTTTGTGATTCACACTTAGAGCTAGGTGGCATCCCAATCAGATTGCAGCTAGAGATTGATTTAAAAGTGTTTCTTGTTCTCTTGACCCAGAGATTCTGCTCTTTTGCTGCATAAATAGCAGTTTTAAAGTGATGGGGTGAGAGATACAGCTCAGCATTGGTGCACCTGCCTGGCAAGTGCAGGGTCCTGAGTTCAATTCCTGGCACCAAACAACCAAACAGAAATGAACCAGCTTCCAAGCTAGCTTTAGAAGGGTACATTTTTGGGTTTATACATGCAGATGTGAAAAGGGGTAAAACCCCAACTGAGATCCATTAATGTATAGACATTAGTCCTGGATTCTAGGTCCTAAAAAGGAGTTGTTTAAAACTAGTTTCTTACCACCTGATGTACATAGATGATACTTCTCTTGTTATGGCAGGAACAGGGTGGAAATAGATAAGCTATTACCTCCAATCAGTGATATATTGCAAATAGCCTGTGATTATAATTAAAAAATACTTTAAAAGATATAGTATAACTCATTGTTTTTACATCCTTACAGATTTACAGTATGACCTTGAGATTGTCTGCTTTATTTGAAGAAAAAATGAAGAAAATTTCTTCTGATTTTAAAATTGGTCAAAAATTCAATGAAAAACTTCGACGAAGCCAGAGGTTCAAGCAAAGGCAAAATTGTAATGGTGTTGTTCAGCCCAACAAAAGTATGAGGTAAATTGGTTATGGCAAGCTTTGTATGTCATTTGATTTTTAGGGTTGTGATTACTTTTTAGAATACTGTGTATTCAGAGAAGACTAGTCAGAGGTTGTTTTTTTGTTGTTTGTTTTCTTGGGGTGTTTTTGTACCAGGAATAAAACTCAGGACCTTGCATGTGCCAGGCAGGCACTGTGCTGCTAAGCTGTATCTCCAGCCCCTAGTCATAGGGTTTTTTGTTTTGTTTTTTTGAGACAGGGTCTCGCTATGCAGTTCAGGCTGGTCTTAAGCTCACTTTGTAGCCCAGGCTGGTCTCAAACTTGCAATGATCCTCCTGCCTCAGCCTCCCGAGTGCTGGGATTACAGGCATAAGCCACCACGCCCACCTAGTCTTAAGTTTTTATAGCTAAAAGCATTTCTGTGAATATGGAGCTATTGTGCTGATTTGAAAGTTTGTAAATTTTGAGGCATTTGATGAAAATTACAGATTTTTTTAAAAAAACTTATCAAGGATTAAAATATCATTTGTCTTGTAATAGACAGCTTTTTAATGTAGAGTAAAATGATTATTGTGTATGCCTTTGTGCTTTTAATTGTATAAGGGAAGAGGTTTTATTAAATATACCTCTTTATTTGTGAGGATTAATTGATTAGAAAAAGAATGAAATGAAGGGTTTATTCCTCTTACCATTAATTTTATATTTATATTCTGTCTTCATTGACTATATACCTTACTTTAGTATCAAATTTCAGGTAGAGTATTACAACTGAAAATTGAATTATGAGTTTGTCCCCATGTATATGTTGAATGTGCAGTATACTATTGATGGTTTTTCTTTGTGGTTGGTCTGGGGATTACCTGCATCTCAATTCAAAAGTGTTTCATATTAATAATGCTGTTTGTATCCCTGTACATCTATTTTTTTATCCCAGCACAGAAACTGCTTTAGGACAGCTACCTTTTATCCTTCCTCCTGTGTGCTGTTGTTGTCATAGAAGTCACATCTTTGTATGATCTGTTTTATAGTTTTAAGAGTAAAAAAGTTGTTCATGCTGCTTTTTGATTGATGTAGTTAACATTCCTACTTTTTTTTTGAGACAGGGTCTCACTATGTAGTCTAGGCTGGCCTCGAGCTCACAGCAACCCTCCTGTCTCTGCCTCACTAGTTCTGGTATTACAGGCGTGCAACACTATGCCTGGCCAACGTTCCCACTTATAAAAGTGTAGATGTGAGTTACTCTGTGGTTAACATTTTTTTTCTAGCCAGGACTTCTTTTAACATTTCCTGTAAAGTGGAAGGGTTACAGTGACTTTGCTCAGTCTTTGCATATCTGCTAGTGTCTTAATATATCTTAATCACTGAAGAGTATTTTTCATGCATATGGAATTCTCAATTGACACGTTATCTACCCATCAGCATTTTGGATGAGCTGTCTCATTGCCCACTGAACCCATTATTTTTGAAGAGAAGTTAAGTATTAATCTTAACTAAGGTTCCTTCCTTGTAGAAATTGAATTTTTTTGTTATGTGTTTACCTTTCAACTGATTGTGGTATTTGTACATTTGAATTTCTTTGAGTACATTCTACTTGGAATTAGTCCAGTTTTATGGATGTGTAGTGTTTTTCATTTTTGAGAGGTTTTTGTCCACTGTTTCTGAAATAGTCTTTACTGCCTCTTTCTCCCTTTCCCTTTTGGGATTCCCACTTCACATAGCACAAAATGTGGAACCCTGGAGGTGCCCGTGGCGCTCTCATTCCCTTCCTCATGTTTTCTCTGCGTTCCTCAGCCTGGGTCATCTTTAGTGATGTGTCTTCAGTTCTGACTCGTGTGCCAGCTCATGCCCCTCTGCTGAGCCTGAATATTCATCTCACTTACTGTACATTTCAGCTCTGGAATTTCTATTTGGATTGTTTTCATATTATCTCTTTATTGATATTCTGTGTTTGATGAGTCATTGTTAAAACGTTTTTGTTTCTGTAAACATGATTTCCTTTAGTTCTTTGAATATTTTTAGAATAGTTGACTTAAATGTCAACATTTGTTAAATCTGTATATATGTTTGTGTGGGGTACTAGAGACTGAACCCAGGGACCATTTGTACAGAGCTACATCCCCAGCCTTTCTTATTTAATTTTCAATTTTGAGACAAGGTTTTGCTAAGTTGTCCAAGCTGGGCTCCAACTTGAGGTCCCCGCCTCCACCCCCAGGGCTGGGATTGCAGGTGTGTGTCACCATACCTGGCTGATCTTTTTCTAAAGCACATTATCTGCCCTCCCTTGAATTAATGGTAGTATAAAATGTGATATAACAAGCTTGAAATCTCTTTATCATGGTGGAAACAATTAGTGTTTTAAAGAATTATGATTATCTTTAAGCTTAAATGTCTAGGTATCCCTTAAAGTCTGCTTATATTTTTATAGTAAAGGAAAATAAGATTATCTGAATATGAATATTACCCATACTTGTTACTTAAATTTCTACTCCTCTTCTCCATAACCCGTGACTAGGGGCCAATCTTGGAAGGCAGGCACTGAGGTATAAGTAGTTTGGTCTTGCAACAAAACTAGCTTGTTTTGATGTTTTTTAACTTATCTGTTTAAATTTTGTTGGTTTCTGTTGGGTTCTTTTTTATACTGTTTTTAGGAATATATAAAAGGTTACAGTGCAAGTTGTGTTGTACTTAGGCTGGAACTTATAGTATAAGTGAATGCCAATTATCACACAGATATTGGTTCTTACATTTTATCCAAAGGACCTAAAGTATTGAGTATGTAGCTGTTACGTGGATCAGTTGTTCATTACTCCAAGTTTGAATATGACAATGTCAAATGTAGAACAAGGAAATATTAACAGTAATCCATACTAGAATAAGATGTTAATAGTGAATATTTTAGTAACTTGATCATAAAACGACTCTCAGCTTAGGCAATAACAAATATCCTTTGATCTAGGTATTCACTGAACCGGTTTTCTTTCTGTTCTACTAAATATTTTTTCTTTGTTCATGTCTTTGACCAGAAATATCAGGCAGAAACGGTTAAAATCTCAGCCGAAAGTAACTCCTGAGTCGGTAGATTCTCCTACCCAGTCTACCTCAAGTAGGGCAGCTCATTCTGCAGCACACAAGACGCGTGCTGGTGTCTCTTCAGGGGTTACGTCTGGGGACTCCTCAGATTCAGCAGGATCTTTGGAGAGAAGAAGAAACAGACCTGTGACTCTGCAAAATGATTCTCTGCTGTCCGGTGAGAGGCTGTTGAGCACCAGACCGTGTAATGTTGCCATACTGTGGGGTTATTGAAGAACATAGTAAAGACGTAGCATTGACAGTAAAGGAGCTTACAATTTGATAGGAGAAATAATAAATATGGAGCAGTTTGAATGTATTTGATAAGAACTGTTTTCTGCACATGATGTGGCAGCAATTTATGCCAATTTTGAATCTCACATTTTAAACAGTGCAATATGTATATTCACTACAGTTTATGTGATTTTTTTTTTTTGTTTGTTTGTTTATATCTTTTTAAATTAAAGTATTGATAAGTAAGTTCAAAGTTGGTGACCTGGTAAATTCTAAGTTTATGCTGTGGCAATTTGGTAGCATGACGGTAACAGATGGTGAACCTTTATTAGCATTGTGAGAGTAAGGCTGTGCTGGTATGCACTTCTGTATAGCACTGAGTGATTGTGGTGTCCTGAGGTGGTGTATTACTTACAAGTCTAATTAATGCCGCTTGCATGTCTTATTCCAGTGTTTTATTAGGTAGTATTGGCAGTACATCTATAGATGAAGTTTCGGAATGGAAGTGAGTTGTGGTAAACTGCTGTAAGAAGTCCCGCTGATACTCGCTGTGTTAGCATTACAGGATGTCCTAAGGGTTTCACTGAGGGGGTGGAGTGTCCTATCAGAGTATGGTGCACCCATTGAAAATGACTAGAGAAAGGGGGCTGGGGATTTAGCTCAGTGGCATAAGCGCCTGCCTGGCAAGCGCAAGGGTCGTGAGTTTGATCCCTGGTACCGCAAAAAAAAAAAAAAAGAAAATGACTAGAAAAAGGCTTACTTCTCAAGCAGGTGCATTTAGATAAAGCATTGATAGCAGAAAAGAAAGATGCATTCTGCGCATATGATACGATTATGATTTGAGAAATGAGAGAAGGAATTAGGATGAAGCAGGTGGAGCGCATCCACATCTTAGAGCCTTGCAGAAGAGTCTGGATTGTTTAACTGGATCTTCTGTTGAGCAGGGAGCCCTACGATGAACTCTTTGCGGGGAAAGTGACCAGTCTAGCAGTGAGGAGTTGGGCAGGGGCTGTTGGTGGAGCTGAGCTGAAGCAGTTGAGGTGGGAAGGCAGCAGTTTCAAAGGGTGAAGCACCACTTGGTGTCTGCTCTTTCTCATACAGCCACTTTCCTCTTGAGCACAGAGCTGATTTAGTTATGGACCAAAATTGTGTCTTTGAACAATATGTTTCCACTACTTCGATAAAAATTTTATCAAATGTAGGAGACTGGTCTATGCCAGTCCCCGTTCCCTACCCCTATTCCAGGCACCACCCATGGGGAAGCAGCCCACTCCAGTCTTTGCTCACCCAGGTGCCCTGTGCAGGGACCCAGTCCTGCTAGCTTGTCCCCCTGACCTGGGGGTGGATGAGAATGAAGGATGCACATACACACTTAGTTTAGCATGCGGGCACCCAGGGGGTTCTTGCCTCTAGTAGGCAGAGGAGCCCCGAGTATCTGGCTCGTCCTGCTTTTATTCACTCAGACGCAGGTGCAAGCAGTTAAAAGAACGCAAGATGCATCTGCCCTCCATTGTCCATTCAGTACATGCCCAAGGAAACAACCTGATCTCAGCTGAATGGAATCCCCGCCCCCACATACATACACGAGAACCTGCAACATGCCATCATCCCAGAGTGTTGCCTTTCTCCTCTATGCTATTAGGCCTCAGTTCTCCTCTGGTCTCCCACAGCCAAAATAGATGCTAGGCATTTAAGAAATGTCTGGATTTAGGGAAAAAAAAAACAACAGCAGAAAGTTCCTATCTTGTGCTCACACTGGTGCATGCACTTGTGAGGTGGAATAGTGGGGAAAATCACCTGAGCTGTTTAAATTCTTCACACATCCCACTGTGTCCATCTGTCTGTCCATCCGTCTGTCTGTGTAGGACACCTAGAAATGGTCTTTCTTGCGCTGAGTGCTTATGTGGTACAACTGTGCTGTCAGGAACAGCTAGGAAGAGACTGGCACTACGTTGTGATGTGAAAGGACTCAAAGTGATTGTCTCTTTTCTCTAAAATGCCTGTTTGAGATCATAGAAGGAAGATGTGAGTGGGGCCAATTAGATGTTGAAGTGGAAGTTTGTTTATAATTTTCTAGAGTATTTTCTGAATGTATTCCAGAATTAATGTTATTTTTAGAAATATGAGCATAAACTTGGAATGCTGATTATGTACCTTTCAATGTCAGAATTTTATCTGCTTTCTTTGAAACTGCTTTTAAAAAACATACTGTTATTTTAAAAATCAGTTTTTATTATAATGTTATGAAAGAACTGCTTGCTTGTATGTATACACATACAAAATGTATGTAATTAACTATTTATGCCTCTGTTTTCCTTAGAAAGTGAAATGGAAGATTCCTTAGCTACCTCTTCGTCCTCTTCTGCTTTCAATAGTTCAGAGGAAAGCAAAGAGAGTTCGAGAGCACGAGAGTCCTCCCGTGGCGGGCTGTCCAGAAGCAGCAGTCTCAGGGTGACCAGGACACGAGCTGCTCAGAGGAGAACCGGTAAGAGACCCTGGGACGATGCATGTATTCTTTTAAGTCACTTAGAATATTGATATAAGAAAAGAGCCTTTCTAATCTTACTGCTACTTTATTTCCAGGTCCTCTTGCCTTAGAAAATGGATGTGGCAGAAAAGCCACTCGAAAAAGAGTCTATTTAAGTGATTCTGATAACAATTCACTGGAGACCAGTGAAATTCTGAAAGCCAGAGCTGGTGGTAATCGAAAAGTCCTACGCAGGTGTGCTGCTGTGGCTGCCAATAAGATAAAGTTAATGAGTGATGTAGAAGAAAATTCTAGCTCTGAAAGTGTGTGCTCCGGTCGGAAGCTTCCTCACCGCAATGCTTCTGCTGTGGCTAGAAAAAAGTTACTGCATAATTCTGAAGATGATCAGAGCCTAAAGTCAGACATTGAAGAAGAAGAGCCAAAAGATCAGGCTCTGCCGTTGCTAGCATCCGATGCTCGTGTTTCCCAGAATACTGGCAGTGAACCTGAAAATGGAGATTCAGAATCAGAAAGTGATTTGCGAGTAGCCCGGAAAAATTGGCATGCTAATGGTTGTAAGTCCCATACTCCAGCAAGCTCCAAAACCAAATTTCCTAAGATAGAGTCCTCTGAGGAAGACTCTAAGAGTCCGGAGTCAGATAATGGTCACAACAGAACTGCTGGCCCCTCCCCTGCTGTGGGGAGGAAAGCTGAGGCAGAGAGCGTCTCGGAGGAGGCAGACTCTGAGCCAGGAAGCAAGGCATTTCGCAAGAGTGCAAGTTTGTTTAAGAAAGCAAAGATCTTAAGTGATTCCGAAGACTCAGAATCTGAAGAACAAGACAGAAATGAGGACACGTGTCACAAAACGGGAACGAGCACAATTTCAGGAAACTTGAAATGTGAGCCCAACGCTGGGTCTCAGTGCTTCTCAGATTATGTATCTGAAACTGATTTAGATTCAGATGATGACAAAACAAAAGAAAAACCAAATAATTTTATGAAAGGTAATTCAAAACATTTATCTTGATTCCTGATTTAATCTCACTGGCTTCTTTTTCTGATTGAAAACATTAATATTATTTCCTCTTGCAGTTTTCTCTCTGCCCTTATGTATACTATTAGCCTTTTCTGTTCACCTCTTCAGTTTTTACATACGTGCATAATTATATGTTGCACACTTGGTTTTTTTCAGCTAGTGGTAGTGTTGGCCTTAACAACTCCTGGGTTAAAGATGTCCCGTCTGGTCTTGGTGGGGATATTGTGTTGGAGATAGGCTTGAGAAAAGCAGAGGCAGTACACACTAAGCCTCGGGAGTGGCAGCTGGAGAAGAGTAGGACTTCTGCTGGAGTGGTAATAATGATAACAGCTAACAGAACAGTTACTGAGCTGTGTCAAGTTTTTCTAATTGCTTTACACTGTTAACCTAAAAACGTTTAGTCCTATCTTTTATGAGGTAAGTACTATTTGGTTTTCATGGTAGTGGGGATTGAACCCAGGTCCTTCTTCCTGAGCTACAACCCCAACCCATTTTTAATTTATTTTGAGACAGTCTCATTAAGTTGCCCAAGCCTGGGCTTGAACTTGGGATCCTCTTTTTTAGCCTCGCAGAGTGCTGGACCACAGGCCTGTGCCACCACGCCTGGCTTCCTTACCCATTTTATATATAGTAACTGTGGAGCCCACAGCAGTAAAATTACCACTGAAAAGCAGGAGGTAGCTAAAACTTAAGATTAAAAGTGGTATGAATGAGGTTTGTGGAACTAGGGGAGGTTTCATGGAGACTGAAAGTTAGAGGTTGCTTTGCTCACCGTGGTCCAATTGAATGGGTTTGGCCTGTATTCCTGTCAGTGTCACAGTTTCAAGGGCCTAGAATATTACTGGCGGGAATGTGCTGTATGGTGAGTGGTGCTGAAAGCTAGAGTCTCTTTAAAGTATGAAGAGGACTGGACCATCCCATTCACTCCCGTGGGCCTCCAAGTTAAGACGAGAATTCAGATGAGAGTTCTGGATTTAAGGTGTTTCAGAAGTTGAACATTTAATTCCTTTAGATTTACTCTTTTGTTAAAGATTAAAAGAATATTCTTCAATTTTTAGATTCTATATCACAAGACAATGGACAGAGCAGAAAAATTTCCAGGAAAAGGGTCTACTCCAGTGACTCAGAGAGCAGCTCAAAGGCAACCAAGAAGCTACCACAAGCCACAACAGGTCGCACAAGGGTCACTCATAGCAGTGCAGCTGCAGCTGGCAGCAAGATCAAGCTTGTGAATGATGCTGAAGATGTCATCTTAGGAAACATGTGCACTAGGAGGAAAGGTGGGCGGAAAAAAGTGCTCCGTTGTGCTGGCCCCACAACTAGGAAGCCAGCAGGTGACAGTGAGGAAGGCGCAAACGGGTTGGGGCCGGGTGAGCAGGGTGCCCGTGCGGACACTCCTGCCCCCACCTCGGAGAGCCGCGCAGAACATGCCAGCCAGCCTTTAAACAGAGACTCGGACTCGGAAGGCATTTGGGCTTCAGACCCCGTGAACATGCTTCCCAGTAGTAACAACACAGATGCACCTTCTAAAACAGAGAATTCTCCCAGCGGGTCTTCAGAAGGTTCACAAAGCCATGCTCCAGGGAATGAAATGGGTAGAAAACTTTCTTCTGAGTCAACTTTGGCCCAGAAAGCTACTACAGAGAATACCTTTGAAGAGGAACTGAATTATGGGCTCCGCAGGTGGAATGGCAGAAGACTCAGAACATATGGCAAGGCTCCTTTCAGCAAGTCAAAAGTGCTTACTGATTCACAGGCAACAGCGGAGATGGAAGTAAAACGGAAGAGACTACATCCTGAATTGGAAAATGTGCAAATGTCTAAAACCCCTGGGTGTTCACAGTATGGACCTGGCACCAGTCTCAGGCCGTCGGATCTGGGCTCCATAACTGAGTCAGAGGCTGACTGTACCAATAACACAAGAGGCAAAAGAAGGAAAGCTAAAGGAAAAGCAAGAGTAGTTAGAAAAGGTAAAACTTTTACAACTAACCTATCTAAAACTGTGAGGCAGCAAAGACAAAGCAAACGTCCTAGGTTAAGTGTGGATGATAATGACTGGGAGGATTTGGACTATGCAAAATCTAAAAGAGTTCTTCGACGCTCAAAAATAAAAACGAGAAACCAGGGTAGAAGGACTGTGAGATACCATGATGGAGATGATGATAGAAGCTTAGAAAATGTGTTAGAGTTCAATGATTGCACCTTATGACCTTGAGGGAAAGCCAGTTACTTAAAGAGAAAATGGACTGGAGTTTGGTGAACGTGGGCTGATGAAATTATTTTTTGTCTTACAATTCAGGGAATATATTTATATTTTTCTATGAAAAGTTACGAATGTGACTAAATCATGACTGTTATTTTTATTTGCACTTGCTGGTCTTTGTAGCAGCATTCAACACAGGTGCCAAAATATGCTTCATTTTGGGGGCAGATCTACTTTAATAGTATTTGACTACATATAGCAAGTTTGACATATGTTAAACACTAGACATCCTGGTTATAAAACCAGTAAGCATTACTTTCATGGTAGCAAGTGTCGTGCAGTTCCTTTTCTGAATTTATCCAGAGGTGGTAGTTTCTCTAACCCCTGTCCTTTAGGAGAACAATTTCACGTGGCCTATGTTTACAGATTGTTCATATATATTATGTGCATACTGATGTTACAATCATGGGAAGTGTGACCATGATTAGCAGGCAAAGTATCTACCACTCCCTGCCCCCACCCCTTCCCTGGCTACTTGAGGACATTGTATTATACCATATTTGGTCATTGTCATTGAAATGGTTTCCAGTTTTCTTTCCAGTGCTATTGGGTCTTTTTTCTTTTTACGGAGAACATGATTACTTTTATATTATAAACTTGAATTTATAAAGTACTGGTAAATTATTTTCAGTGCTTCAGTGTGTCTTCAAAGTTCAGAGGCCAGAGTATAGGCATAGCATTTCCTTTCAGATTGTGCACTAACAAAATGCTGTATAATTTTGTCTTCTGTCCAAAGTCTTCCTGGCTTTCATTGTGATTTAACCAAAATTTTGCTCTTCCATAATCTTACTCTGAAATAGAGGAGTTTGTGTGCCTTAGATTTAGGGAGTGTGTTAGTAGGGCTAAAAAAAAGAGTAAGTGGTATGTAAATTTCCCCCATGTGTATTAAAATTATAGGGTTGAGTTTTATTAAGCGTGTAATTGTAAGTCTATTGTAGGACAATAGTTCACTGTCATTTTCCACCTGTTTGTTTTCGCTTAATGCTGCCAGGTGCAATCTTAAGTGTTCTTTGCTGGGGCAACTAAGTGTGTCTTTATTAGTGATCGCTAGTCTAAATGTGAGAAGAAGCTGTCATGTTTTGTGGGAAAATAACTTAGGAATACAGTTAAAGTGAAACTTAATCACCCTGAATACCTATAGTACACTTGTTTTTGAGCCAAATACAGTAAGTACTTTTACTTGATAGCTTATGCTACTCCAAACAGTGTAGGGGGCCATTCCTAGCTTGTTTGTGCCTGAAATGGTTTACATATTTTCTAGTTAAAGAGTAAATTACAGTATTGCACCATTAAGTTATTTATTAGCCCTAATTGTGCTTGATCTTAGACAAAGTTAACCCTTTTTTCCTATTTCCTTGAGGTGGCAGATAGGAAAAGCATCTGATTTCTGATAGTGTTAGAGAATAATCCTAGGTGTTCCTACCTTGGAGTTGCTGTTTCACTTGACATAGTAGGAGATACCTTTTCTTTCTACTCTGACATAGAGGAAGGGTACTTTTGGACATTTCCAGCTGAGAAATGTGGGGTACCTGCCTGTAATTTGATGGTTTAGGGAGCCCTCTCACCACGTGGCCAAAAGGATGATGCTTTTCTTCTCACAGCTCCTGTTAAGTGGACAGTAGATAGACTGATTCAGCATAATTATCTCGACTGTTCACCTGAAAAAATTCACGGAATGCCTTTTATACGTAAAAATGGTGATAGTTTTCATATCCATTAATTTATTTAACTACTTCGCTTTATATTTGTTCTCAGGGTTGTAACTCCATGTTACCATCATCTGCAAAAAGGTACCAAAAACTCAGAAAGAAATATCAAATGCATAAATTTATTTTGTAAACCAGTCTTTTGACAGTTTGGGCTTTGTTTATAGAACTGTCCTCATTTTTTGGACTGAACTAACTTGTCATGGACTGACATGTCATCAAATTAGCAATTTTTCTTTTTGTCCAAACTGCTGAGGCTTTTGTGTATGGAAGCAGTATTTTGGTTTAATCAGATTTAGTTTCATCAGAAAAAGCAAGAATGGGCCTGTGATTGTAAAAGTGTGGTTAACAGTGGAGGCATCTCGACTTCCAAAGGAAAAACTAAGGACTTTGGGAGAAAAGCATTTTTATGGTTTGTTTTGTTTCGTTTGGTTGGTTATGGTGCTATTCCTAAAGTTAACTTTGAATATGTGACACACACTCCTAAGTACCTTTAAGGAAGATTAGTAATGAATAGTTAAAATGTTTACATTGAGCACTAGAACATATTTGATTTTTTTCTACTTCATGTGAAATGCACAGGGATTCAATGCACAGATGTACTTTAATGTTTAGGATCAGTCAGAAAGACAAAAGTGGGTTTCAAAGTGAATGTGAACTGGTCCAGAAAGAAGTGCTATAGCTTTCCATTGCACTTGAAGTAACTTAATGGTGTACATGAAACAAAATTTTTTTTTTACTGTGGTTGTGTATGTCTAAAGCCCTAAGATTTTATTCATTTATAATTTTTTTAAAAAGTTTTGAAGTATTCAGATTTGATTTTTTTTCTTCCTTTGAAAGTTTAGTTTTACCAAGCGTATTAAGAGAAAAATTCAAACAAATTTAAAACAGATAAAGTTTAAGAAGTATTTTTTCCCCCCATATCCTACTTATTTAAAAAGGGTGTACTGGAAACATGTAACTTCTGAATAAAAGGAAATTTTATCCCATTTTCAGATTATTCCAAGGGTGGTTATTCTCTCTTTCTCTTGTGTTAACTAGAAAAATATTTGATTTATTCTCAGTTGAAATTATTTAGTAATCCTTGGAAACAATGCTATAACAGTTATTTTTGGCTTCTAAGGTGCAACACAAAGCTTTCTTTAAAATAGAGTTCTATGGAAAAATTGGGGTTTTAATAAGAAAATGGAAGGAGAGACGTTTTAGGAAAAAGCATGTCAAAACCTAGAAGTACAAATGGAAAAAGCGTTATAAAACAAACCAATAAAATAATATCCAAAGATATTACTGTCCAGAAATTAGCAAGATGTATCAACAAGCCCTTCACACTTTTTGGTGAGCTTTAAGTAAAAATTTGTATTTAGGGTAATATTCCTGGTCCCTTTTCTAGGAACCCACCCAACCCCTCCCCCTTTCTTTAGAACACAATTTATTAACTTTATCATCGGCATGAAAACAAAATCAGAAGGATTTACTATCTTCTGTTGGTACAAGTTAAATCAGTGTCATTTTACTGTGTATCACTAGAACGCAAAAACATTGTTAAAGGTGCATGCAGTATTTTTTGTTTTCCTTTCTACTGTTGTATTGATTTTTCAAGTAACTTTCAAATTGTTAGGAAAGTCTTTCTGCTTTGTCTTTTTATAACTGAAATAACCAGCTGTGTTCTTTTTATCAATAGTAAGTCAATATATATATTTACCAAATATCTTGCAGTATCACCAAATACTTTTAAGTTTTCTCACATTGTATAGAAGTTACATTTCAGTTATTCTAGTATGATGGAGTGCCGCAAGCATTGTGGCAGAACTTTTCACCTTTTAAATTATTAAGATACACTCCACAACTTTTCCTGTTGAAACTAGAGAATAATAAAGCAGAAACCCAAAGAAATTTGCTGCTTAACAACTTAAGTCTGTCTCTTCTAGTATTTGAAGACCTGAGGACCAGACCAAATACATTTGTCAATGCTAGAGAGAAAGTAGAGCAATGTGGAAAAAATTTAGATTTCAGCTAGATTAGGACATGTTCATCCTACTGGTAGGTCAGTTTGTGAATCAGTGGAAAGGACTGAAAAGGTAAAGAATGTAATGCTGAAGGCTGTGTTATCTTTTCTTATATTTTCAGAAAGTTTGGGAGAGTTTAAAGTTACAGATATTGCCCAAGAAGGGCAACATAAAGATTCTCAAAGTTCAGATTTTTTTTTTTTACTAGTCTTTCATAATTTTCCAAGCTGGTTTCTAATATATTGTCACATTGGTAAAAAAATATCTTTAGTCTTAATTGGTGTCTCCCTCAAGAATTGCTTTTCTAGAGTTGGTGGGGGCAGAATCACATAATAATATGGACCCCACTAATCTGCAGCCGTGTCTTGGACAGCATGTTTGTAAATAACCGTAGGTTGTACATCTTTCTCAAGTATTGCAAGACTGATAGTTTCATTGACTTGTACTTCCCGGTCATACTGCAGTTTTAAGGTAAGTTTCATCATGTATTAAAACCTGTAAGTGGGATTTGGCGATCCCACCAAGAAGAGGTAATCTAACTGTCCAAACAGAAGGAAGACGATGAGTTGAAGGCTGTGTGAACTGTGAGCCGCCTCAGTCCTTGGTCCCACAAGGACCAAGAAATTACCTTCTTTCATCAGTGGTTGAAAGAGAATCTTTATTTTTAATATATTGAAGTTAATTTTCTAAGTTTGGATCAGACACACTGCACAGCCTCCTCCAGTTCACCCATGGAATTCTAACCATATCGTTAGAGGAGCCAGACAAAAAAGCGAACCTAACACTTTTGAATAAGGTTTTTAATGTTCTCTGAAGTAATTGTCATCCACCTAGGAACTGGTTTTTTGGGATTTTTTGGTATTGGGAATTGAACTTGGGACCTTGCACTTGCCGGGCAGGTGCTGTGCTGCCAAGCTATACCCACAGCCCTCAAACCAGTTTTTAGTAATCAGTTGCTAACTAAAATAGTAAAAAACGATGTTGCCATCCTGACAAGCAAATGACTTTTTAAAAACAATCTTCAAGCCAAACGGGTCCCTGATACAGAGTTCCCCACCCCCCCATCCATCGGTAATTTACCTTTGTGCAGATAGGTCATGGATCAGCAGGCTGTGGGTACCAGTTAGGGCGCTGGAATGAGTTAGGAGCCAGGCCTGAAACTGCTGTGTAGCCCTGCTTCTTTAGGGAGGTAATCGGGTGGACTGGAAACCCAGCATTTACTTCTAAATTTATTTTGTAGTGCCGAGATACTCTGAGAAAGTTAAGACAGCACAGCCCTCAGCATTACATGAGCAGATAAGCGTGAGGTCCCTGAACCCGTACTTATACTGTTTGTTAGATTCTTGATAATAACAGTAGTCAGAAATATTTTGGGAATCATAAGAATAACTTAGCAACTCTTAAGGGAATCAGAGAAAACTGCATGTGCTGAGCTAGATTAGCTGTAGCTTCTAGAAAAATTTGAGTGGTGCCCGGCACTGTGAGAGTGGGTCCCCCACAGTACTCAGAGAAGACCGTTGAGGTCGACTGAATCAGTTCTGACAGCCTAGTGCTGCCTGGGGTGGAAGTTAAGAATGCAGTGTTACCATCTTCCCTAGAAAACGTGTTTTCAAAGTCTAGGGAGCTCCAGAAAACACTGGCTCCTCCTAATGCTTTCTAAAGAGACTTCAGCCTGTGGGATCTTTCAGAAACTGCTTTGGAAAGATAAAGATCATTGGTAAAGTCCACTGCTTTCTGAACTTCAGATCATTTCAGCACTTGCCGTGGAGGCAGCAGAAAAGAGTGCATCCCCAGCCAGTTGAGTCGCACGTTTTTTCCCCTCAGATTAGAGATTTTTTAATGCTTCCATATTGATGATGTGATGTTTACTTTGGATTTAGGAGCATAATTTTGTACAATGACCTATAATTAGGATGTAAATAATACTCAAAATGTAGGAGCTAGAGGTTGATGTTTTGAATCAGCTGTCGTATCAGTGTCCTCTTTTCATCACACGAAGACCTGCCTAGACAGTGTGTAGTAGTGTGTTACACAGCCGTCGGTCGTCCGGGTTCAGCAGGGGTGGTGCTACCGATGCGGTTGTAGATTTTACACTCCTGATCCGCAGAGGGCACTGCTCAGTAGCGCGGCAGTGCCTCCAGCCCTCAGAGGTGAGCCTAGTGTGACTGAAGGCTTCAGATCATGGGGACAGCAGAAGGGTGGGGTTGTGCTGACTCGTATTAAATGATGCTGTCACTGGTGCTCTGCTACATCAGCAGTCTCCAAAATCCTTAAGCTTGTAACTTAACACTCAGACTTTTCTCTAACTCCCACATTCTGTATGGCCCCTAAAACCTGTATTTTCTCAAGGAGAATAAAGCACTTTATTATAATTTACCGAGTTCTCAGTAATAAAATTAACACTGACTTACAAGTATGTACTTTTTTTTAATTTCCCACATGGTCAACTTGTGTCTTAAGTTATGTGTTTATTCTATGACATGCTCATTTTTATCATCTCAGACTTTAGAGAGCTTCATCCAGTTGGAGCTGCTGCACAGTCCAGTTCTTAAGTTCTCCCTCTGAACGTAGTTCAAGTTCAACCCTTAACAGGTAGTTTTTTTGCGTTTTTTTGTTTGTTTTTGTCTTTTTGAGACAGGGTCTCGCTATGCAGTTCAGGTTGACCTTGAGCTCACTATGTAGTCCAGGCTGGCCTCGAACTCTCAACGATCCTCCTGCCCCAGCCGCCCAAGTGATTAACAGGTAGTTGTAAAAAACTAATTCTAGCTCCCATTCCAAACTTTGCCCCTTTTCCGGATTTAGAAATAATCATTAGAGGGGCTGGGGATTTAGCTCAGCGGCAAAAACGCCTGCTTGGCAAGCGCAAGGTCGTGAGTTCGGTTCCCGGTACCGGAGAAAAA